CTGACGTGTTATGACTTGCTTGATACCAAACAACTTTAGGAAATGGACTTTTTACGCATCTAAGAATATTCAAGGTATTTAAAATGGGGTATTTTACATATTATAATTTAGTAACAATATGTAAAAAAGAAAGTTCTAAGAAAGTTTGTAAAGATGTACACATAAATTTTAGTACAAATATTAAAAAATTAGCGAAGTTAGAGCGTCGATCGCGCTAGAAATTCTACTAATATTATACTCGAGCATTTGATATTTATCAATTTTTGACTCAATGGAAACGACAATTGTTTAATAATATCTTATTGCTAAGATTACTTGCGAGATATTTTTATGCACGATAATGAGTAACACGTGTATTATAAATTCAACATCAACTATCGGGTACAGGTGCGAAGGCACGGTGAGTCAAGAGAAATTCCTGCATACGTAATCTTACGCTCCACTTATAAAATGAAATGGTCAAGCGTGATTGAATTTGATCTTGACAGTTGGTGAACTTCTAAACGAAATTAATAATTCCTTGAAACTGTCCTCTTCGCTCACCACTGTTATGGGAAAAATTATGGAAGAACCGCTTCCGGATAAATGCTTGAAAATTGACAGCAATGCCGAAGAAGGAACGCAGAATCAGTGCATTCTCAAAAAAACGTTAAACGATTAGAAACGAAAGATTGCAGAGAGAGGACTACAATGGACAAATATGTACATTGTCAGAAGAAGGTCGTTCATTGATTCAAGAGACGAAAAATATCTTAGTTCGTAAAAGAGCTTATTTCAAAAGAAAGTCAATGGGAGAATAACATTATCTTTGCTGACGAGAGTAAATTTAGCATTCATTCTGGCGATAGAAGAGTTGGAGTGTGTATCAAGAAAGTGGAAAGGGGAACTAATTTCGAAACATTTACAACCAGCCATAAAGCAGGATGATGAATCAATACAGAAGTGATAATGATACGAGGATGTAATTCAATTTACGGAGTGAGAAGCCATCGTGGAAAACAATTTCTTTAAAAATGTTGCCGATATGGAGACCAAATAAACGCGGTAAAAATTGGACAAATGCCCAAAAAATCCAGTGTATCGATCCTAATTATTATTAGGCTCGAGATTTCCCCGAACGTAGAAAAGGACATCACGAGCGAAGGAGCAAGAGTTCGGAGAGTCGAATTGATCGAAAGAAACGTATCGATGACACGGTATTAACGCAAGAATAGACTTTTTTCATTTTTCATCTTTATCAAGTGAAACGTTTATCCAAGTGACTACGTTTTTCTGATTAAAATAAGGCCAAATTATGTAATTTGGAGCGTATCTCCTTATTTAAAAAGTGACGATAACTTATTTTCTTTTGCCTATTAAATGAAACTACACGTTTAAGTCTTTCCACGATAACTACCTGAAGCAGAAAGTGTGTTTTGGCTGAGAATTTTTACTGTGCCGTTTCACAAATACGCTTCGCAACTGTCGCAACGTTCTTACAAATGAGACGAACGCGCCATACGATTGAAAATATACGTATATTATTTAAATCAACGATTTACAGCGAAGGAAAAATGTACAACTTTTTATTTTGAGCTAATGAACAACGATCGTTAGATTTTTCCAATGATTAAGTAAGTAAATTTCAAGAAATTCGTCTCATAGCGTAGACTTCTAGGTGTTTTCACTTTAGCAGGCATAACGGCCCAAACAAACATAACGGTAGTTAATTAAACAGCTTGGCTTAATCGCATGACCGTTTTTGATACCATACGTGCCATTTCTAACATAATTGTCTTAGATCGATAATAAATTCACATCTATATTCCGTAGACATATTCAATTAGCGTTGTACGATTGCGTTAACGTCGTATCTACATCTTTTCAACTCTAGAAAATTGCATGGAAAGATAATTCTCTGTTATATGAAGGTAACTGATCAGACGAAATTATCTGCTCTTGAACTAGTACTTTTTCTTTACGTCTTCGTTGGAACTAGAAATATGTTTCCAAAATAAAAAGAACATCAAATTTTAACGATATAGTTTAACGATATATTTGACGAATATGTACGCACTAGACTGATATTCAAGCTTTATATTCTCGAAAAGAACGTTTTATTCTACGAAGTAACGAATTGAACGAAATAACTCGCGTCCCCGTTTTTCGATGTTCACAAACGCAGTGCTTTGCGAATTGACTTTTATGGACGAGATACCTCGAATTCTAATGAAAAGATGTGCGACATATCTCGCCCAAAGCGTCACACGAACGATATTACGTCGCGACATACCAAGTACAAAATATCACATGAACGACACGGCATTGCGAGGTATCTCGTTCAAATCGTGTCATCGAAGACCTAACGTGACGAGATATTTCGTCGTTCTATGCAAAAGGGGACTAGAGCGTTTACAAACACGACTAGACATCTAGAGCAAAGTTATTGGTAGTAAATTAAAGTACAGAAGTAAACGTGAAAAATATTTCTGTATCAATGAAATTAAGCAATAGTGAAACACCGAGATACAGACGTCGTTTACGGTGCTTGTGAAGACAATTTTATGAGTGCGAATCGCTGTATGCGTTAAAATATTGTTTGCTTTAAATGCTTAGTGAAATGTTTGGAAAATCTAGCAATTTCTCAATACAAGACGTAAAACGACTAAAAATAGTAAGAAACGAAAGGTATTTTAATACTATAATTGCTACGAGCAATCATGGCAATCGATTCAATTCACTGATCACAACGAATGCATTATCAGCACGTGAAACACTGCGACGAAGAAGATTTTGGAAAACTTGCGATACTCTGTCAATGGTTTCCGAAGATATTTTACATAAACGAAAATAATATATTTTTACCAAATATCCTATTCACACGTTCACATTTACAAACTTCAGACGAGTAAATTTTATTGTTGGCTCACTGATAGGACAGAAATGTTCTATCTTTGTATCTGAAACACTGTCACTTTGTTAAATAATTTATCATGCGAAACTCTTTTAACAATGTGTTACCAATACAACAGTTGCTGTGTACAATGAATGTGTAAGGTTTGAACCTTGAACCTTGAATGGATTGAAACTGCAGGACTCGTAAGCGACTCGTTCTCCGGACCTGATCCTCATTAGACTACTTTTTCCGAGAATATGCGAAAAATGAAGTTTATCGCGAGCTGCCAACGATGCACGAACATACGAACGATAGAATTACTGCGATCACACACTTGCATTGACTTTAAGAATTATTTATATAGACGATCATTTAAAGAATAATTATTGCTTCTTTGACCCATATACCTTCATAATTTATGCAAGTATTATACGTTACATTCGTGGAACTCGAGTTAACTTTTACATGCAAATAAAGGAGGGAGATAACAAAAGACTAATTATTATATTACACAATCCCCTCGATACCATAGAACTTTTGTTTGAAAAAAGATTTTTTATATAACCACTTTTAAAGCAAATTTAAAGTGATAAAATTAAATGATTCGCCCTGTATATTTTGAATATCAAAATATTTGAAAATCAATGCTTGTTACATAATGTTTGAATTATATCTTTGTATTGGTCATTTAAAAATGAATCATTTAAAAAAAAAGATACAACGTAACGACAAGCTGGTGAAGCATCTAAAATATTTTAGTTCTCATTTTTTTCATTAAGACAGGAAATTCGAACAATTGCTAATTACGTACGTAGTATATACATATGTATCATCGCGTACTTTTCAAGTTTGCCAATGGCCTTCTCACCAACAGTGAACTTGAGCGTCATCCGCATAGCGTTGTACAACTCCTAAGTAGGACAATCACATCCTTCCAGATACTATCTATACAAGCGTACACAGCATACATTCACGCATGCGAATTTCTATTTCTCGAAACCTCCTCTGCAACGAACTAATTTTATTTGCAGTTATTTTCTATATACTTTTACTAAATGTCGTTACTTATATAATCGATCAAAAATTTCTTTGTACCACGAGGGAAAATGTACATTTCAAATTTGGTAATTGAAAATTCTTTCTATTTCTTGAGACAATACTTTAGATATATCGCTATTTACTCATAAGCTAAATAGCATAACAAATCTCTCTACAGGGAAGGAGAAAGCAGAATAAATAAATTAAAAATTATATAAAATTATATAGCGAACAACTCGTTCTAAGAATGGAAAAATAAATAGATAAGTAAAATTTAAGAAAGACATTTAATAAATCGAGAAATATATGGAATAATATAAGATTGAATTAGATATTCTTTATCATTTATTGTTCGCAGCTGATACATCAAGCTATATGTATATGTGTGTATGTTGTGTGTAAAAATTAAAAAGCGCAAATAAAAGTAAAAAACGATTCAAGAATGAGAACGAAATATTATGAAAATGTTAAATTTACAGGAGTATATAATTACAAATGCAATAGTATCCAAGTGAGAAGAAATAATTGATTTACCTGACAAGAAAGTGCCAGCCAAAGAATCGTCGTCCTGAGCAGCGATCGATCCGCTAAGTAGGAGGAAAAGGACGATGCCCCCAGGGACTGTTCTTAGTATCATCTTCGCTTTCCTCATTCTCTTTCTCTCTCTCTCTCTCTGTCTCTTGCTTCCTCTTTTTCTTTCTTTCCGCTTCTTTTTCTTCAATTTAAAAAGGTAACCGCAAAAACAGTTAAAGAAAGACACACTGTGTCGTTACCCGGTTCGAACACGTGCGTGTCAAACTACTTTACCGCGAGTTCGGCAGCCACGGTATTATGTGGGCCCGCATTGCCTGTTAGACTTGTTTGACTGACTGACTGACTGACTGAGGAGGTACCGGGGCCCACTTGTGGGTCAGGGTGCGGGTCCCCTCTTTTACGCCAGTCAGAAAAAGGAGAGAAAAGAACGAAGGCGGAGAAATAGAGAGAACGATCGTCGACGACCTCACTAAGAATTACTCAAAAAGAGGGGGAAGGGTTGTTGGCATTAACATCAGATATTTATGCACGATATTTTAAATATGTACAATTCTGCTATTACAATTTATTAGTAATCCGTAATATATACATGTTTCTTTCCTGTTTACCTTACTCACTTATTTGACAATAGATTAACAAACAGCTTTGAATCAAAGTATGTTTACAAACCATGAAGAATGAGCCATTTACTAGCATATATTATCAATAAAATTAGTGTAATAGCATTAACATATAACACAAATAGGCGTGAACCATTTCGATGATGATCGTTATACTCGGTTTTCTTTCATTAAATTTAATTACTGTCTTATGTTATTTATTGCTTTATATATTCTCTAATTTATTAATTTTTACTTATATTCGATTTTCCTCATTATCTGATCTCAACTATATCGGAATCTCTCTTTTCCCTATCTTTCATGTTCGCACTGCTCTTCCTCTTTGCCTCTCTCTCACTCCCCTATAACTTTTTTCTTCCGTTCTCTCTTTCTCACCGCATGTAGATGTAAGTATATGTGCACGACTAGCGGTACTTTACCCGTAAATGTACGGGATACCGTACGATATTTCCCTTTGGAATTTATCGTTCTTTGCGCAACGGTCAATCCTTCGTAATCATAGTACTACATTAACATACGTCTCCTTAAAAAGTTCAAACAAGAAAATAACTTGAAACCCTATTATTTGTTTCAATATTCTACAAGACTATTAATTGTAAAAACAAATTTTTTTTTAGTATATTTAAATAATTCGTCACATTTTTCAAATTCTCCAACATATTTAATTATATCAAAATATACAATATTCTATTCAATATAAAAATTACACTTTACTAGTTAATAGCACTTCTTTATTAGTTCTAGTACAGCAATTATAGACACAAAATACAATTACATACACAAAACATGTAATAATAATAATAATTATAGTAATAATAATAGTAATAATAATAATAATTAAAGTTTAAGTAGACCTAAATGCAATGGATCGATTAATGTAAATTTTTCTATGCATTCAATTAGCCATATAAGCGGAAGTGTTTTTATATGAGGCATATTATATTTTATACGTGGTTCATCTCTTTCTGGTACATATATGATATAATGTGTACATTTATATAAAGAATGAGTAGGTTCGTTCGCAATGTGAAAAGGAATAAATAATCCCTGATCTTTTATATTTTCTGGATTTGGTTCTCTTTTCAAAACTGTTCCACCACCCTCTTGTACTAGTGCTGTTAATGCCTCTTTTGTTAATTGTATACCATTTGCATAAACGTTTTTTGACTGCCACGCAAAATAAAAATAACATCGATTGAAGAGACCTGGATTCTAAAAGGATAACCAGAAACATTCAATGTATTATTTAATTTTCCTGCACAATGTGTTTGCAATTAGTTTTACCTGTTTTTGTGCATTTTCTCTAGCTTTCTTTGGGATACCTTTAATCGGTGTGCCACTAACTTCAAATATTTCTAAATCTCCTTTTAGTATTTCGCTTATATCCATTCCTAATTGAATCCCTTTTATGACAAAGGATGCTATAAAAATTTATTTGTATAACTGTACACAAGGTATTAATCTAGAAACAAACTTACACTCGGTATTAAGTAACCAAGATCCGTGTAAAAGTGCCATCATTACGTCATATGACGGTTGTACGACATTTTCACTATTAGCTTCTACTATGACATGAGTCACAGATGATCTACAATATATTATGTAATATTTATAATCTCCTACATTTAAAGATGTAATATAATACTATATACTATAAAATGACTAAAAATATCATCCACATACTGAAATCTAGATACAATTTTAATTTTATTCTTTGACGCTATTTCATTCAGATATCTTTTATTCTTTTCTTGTAAATCTGATATATATATAACAACCGTGTCAAATGCCATGGAAAGTGATTTATTTAAAGTATGACTAAGATCTTTGGTGGTTTCAAGTACATTATCCAATTCATTTTCATCTTTCAAAATATTCCACATCCTACTGTGTGGCTCGCAATAATCTCTAAAATACAACATATAACATGAAATGAAAATATAGAATGATAATAAGAACAGAAGTTTACATATATAATAACTATTATATTGCTAACAACTTTGTACAGATATTGAGAATATCGACATATGTGTATATAATATATAGAATATTTACTTCGACAGTTTAATAAATCAATATTAAGTAACACATACATAGGTCTTTTTCCATAATCATCATACACATTTTTGTTAGCTGAATATTTTAATAGCAGTTTTGCTTCTGACAATCTATTTGCTTTAGCAGCTTCGTGTAACGCCGTTCTGTTTCCTTCACCAGGTGTATTTGGTAATGCACCACATTTTAGTAGTAAATAACATATGTCGCTATAACCATAACTTACAACTTCTTGCTGCACAAATTATATTTTCATTATTCATATTCAATTTAAAAAGTTATTTTATAATGTAATAATTACCAAAGGAGTCCAACCATTATAATCCTTTGTATTTGGATTTGCACCAGCAGCTAATAGAAATTTTATATGATCTTCTTGTATCTTCCCCTAATGTTCATTTCATAAGTTTAATCATATCTTTTATTTTTTAATTGTTTATTATATTATATTATATATATGAGCATCAAAAATTTACCTTCAAACACGCAGTATGTAATTGTGTTTCTCCTTTACTGTTCTGTTTATTAATATTTTTTTTTGGTATGCGATATTTTAAATTACATACTGTAGAATTGATTCTGTTAGGTGACTGTATCGAATTTGAAGTAGTGGCTGCATTCCATAAATCTCTATTAAATTTATGTTAATTTAAAATTGAGTAGAGCATATCATATTAAAATTTTATTTGTATGTATAAGACATATTTAGTATAAAATTTTGGAATTAATTATAATCAGATATTAATAAAGTCTCATAAGATTAGATACACTTATTTGCATATTTGAAACAATTTAAATATATCCTAAAGAATGCAAATACAGAAATATGAAAATTTATTCTTTGACTTTTATAATACCTTTCCTGTATTATTTCTGCGATATTATTGCAGTGAGATACAAGACTCCCAATTACATGATCGCTACATATTTCAATGGGCTGTACAGGTACCTTACATATTATACATAGTGAATCATTCCCAACACACTGTTTACAAAAGAAATGACCACAATTGGTGTATCTTGTTGCATTTATTGGCTCATTTCCACTACACAAAAAAAGTAAAGAAAATTATAACATACTTGTTTATACATTTTAAAAAATGCTAAATATATGAGATAAACTATGTAAGACATATGAAATGTATTATTATAATTAATCAGGCATGTTAATTTTTGGACATATTTTTTAACTGTAATATTAAAAACAATTTTAATAAGACTGCAAAAATAAGTTCAAATTTTATCTTCATACAGCAAATAAATAATGGAACTTAAAAATAATATATATATAAATGACACACACACACACACAAATTTGAGAAAATTTAAAAGACAATATAAATATAAGTTTGTTAATTGTTTTAAGTAAAATATTACCATTTGTTACACTTTAACATATTTGCAAAGTCTTTTAAAGCGTCACGAGTGTTCGTCCATGAAGTGTCCATTTTCAATTATTACTATAGTACATATACGTATATTCAAAAAATTTCTTTATCATTCCCTTTATAAGCATCTATTAAAAGTTAACCATACCAAGTCCAATTATAGTTTGCGTGGTTAAGGAGTTTGTTAAGTTTGAAGAATACATTTTAATGGATATAAAATGACTGTAGTAGTTTTCAATGTGTAAAATTCAAAAAATGCAACTCTTAACTTTAGAAGCACAGTAATTCAAAAGTTATGTGTATATGTCCTCGAGTTTATAACCATTAAACCGAAGTTTAACCAAAATATATATATAGATAAATATATGTCATTTCTTGTTTCAATTGTATAAAACACTTTTCCTTAAGGCATTAGAAGTCTTTGTTTGTTGAAACGAAAACGGAGTTAAACTGTTAAACTTCACAATAAACAGCACACACTCGTTCACATCACTAGAAAGGAAATAAGAGTGCTCACGCTTATAGAGGTGGTTGCTCCCGGACTAGTGCTGCACCATGCAACCAAGTGCTGAGTTTAATTGATGTTAGCATATACAAGGACCCATAAAATTAGGGATCTATCCTGTTTGGTTGCACACTAGCATAGACAAGAATCTATCGAGTTCCACGCTACAAGAACCTATCTAACTGTACAGTTCTATGGAAAAGTTCATATCTATTTTTCTATTCGAGATAGACAAATATAAGAATGACAAAATCGCGCAATAATGAAACTAATTGTAAGTTGCCTAAGAAAGAGAAATTAATTGTTGTAATATAATTCTGTACTATAACTATAATTTTGTACGATGACACAAAGCAGAGTTAGAAATAGTACAAAAAACATAATCGAGATAGCAGCCAATTAACTCATATTATTTGCTATATAATTCATAATTATATCATATTATATGATACAATTAGTAATTATATGTCCCAAACCCAGTGGAAGAAATTTGGGCATTTCATAGACGCAACGCTACGTATAAGAACGCGACAATTAATCAACGCAACGCTATGTCTTAAAATGATTTTAATATAAAGTTACTATCTATAAATGAAAAAAAAAATTAATTCAAAACTAACGTGTCATTTTAATTCGCCTTTAAATAAAAGAACTTTTCGACAAATTCTAATAATTCACGATAGAAAATACTAAGAACAATCGCGACATCTTATAACTCGCAACGCTAAAGCAAACGCGATCATCTTCCCATCGTAACGCTAATCCAAACCGAAATCAGTACTTTTTCAGTAATCAGTAACTCTAATTGATAACACGAAATTTAGACTCGCAACGTTAATTTTAAAGACCGCGATTAGCCCAACATGACGATGGGTCGACATATACGTTGGCATCATGCAGATCGCTGTCCGTTCGCATGTGCATGCTCGAGCAATACGTAAACGTTCGTGTCGAAACCCACTCGCGATCGCGACCGCGAAATTAAAAATATCGATAGGTAAAGCCAGAGACGATGGCATGTTCCATTCGTGCCTAGCTTCACCGTCGATTTTTCGAACGAAATTTCCTGAAACTGGTTGAACAAGCGAAAACGCGCCTACCCGACCAGAGACTGTGTCAACCTGCCCGACCCTACCTACTTATAATTGACAGACACACCAGAAAATGTGCTACCTATCCTACCTAGCTCTATATTTAAAAAATGACAAAACATGCACACCAACATATTCACTGCACGATTCTCACACATAAGACTCGGGCGCAAGGACCTACACTAGAGAAAACGTCCCGGGACGCCTCCGACACCCGAGTTTGACACACAATTCAAACTGCTTATGTATTGCAAAATATCTTCTAATATATTTTCAAATATTTATTGATATATATTGATATAAAACATTAATCGTTGAAAAGTGATTTTTTCATCTTAATATTTTCAACAAATTATGCAATTATTTAGAAAATAATGTCTATATATCAATTGTAAGTCGCATAGTAATTATACAGCAAATATTATCATTGATCCAATGAAAAGAGAAAATAATCACGTACATATGTCTGCTTTGTTATAATAACTCGATCATTACCAAATCTGCATGGGAAACCAACGAATTCATTATTAATCAATGTGTCATCCATTTCGTATCAGTTCGAATTATCGATTATTAATCATCTGTGGCGTCTGTAATGTGAACCTCTATTTTTCCAGTCACATGACCAGCCAATAATCTGTACAAAAGAAAAACAACAATTTCAAATAAATGTATGGCAAAAAATCAATAATTTACAATAACATTACAATAACTAAACAAATTACAGTAAGATAAAGGAATAATAAAATCCACAGTCTGCCTCAAGGCCGGTAATATGAATTTTCGATCATTTTAACTATCAGAAATACAGTCAAGAAGAAATGTATAGTTTACAATAATGAAACCAATTACAGTGAAATAAAGTAATAATGTAACCCAAATTATACCTCAAAGACCGATAATATGAGCTATCGACGATTGTAACTTGTCAAGTACGCAGTCAATGATGAAAATAAAAGAAAATTTCTTAATTTTACTAAGATTATGATTAATAAGTGATTAAATACGAACGTACTATTTAAATGAAGCAGATAGAAGTGTAGAAATGTTGATAAAGTCGAAATCAAAGTACTAATAATGACAAGGTAACGGTCGACGAGTCGAATTTTCGCTCCACGACTTTCAAGACTACAATGACACCTCACGACACGAAACTAAGACTTCCTAATATTTCGGACCAATAGGAAAGCTCCATTTGACGTAACAATAGGAACGCTCCAATAGGAACCCCAATAGAAACGCTCAATTTTATTTGACAATATTCTGCACCAATAGTCACGCTCGATTTAACTTCGGAATATATTGCACCAATAGGAGCGCTCGATTTTCGTATATACGAGCGCGCGCAAATTTATCGTATTCAAACAGTGAAATTGATGAAATTGAGGAACAGAAAACATACATAAGACAATGTTCAGTAACGAATATTCAATTACGAATAAGATTACGTTCTTAATGAAAAGCTTTTATGTCTTACACGAGTAACGCTGATATTGACAAAATATGACAAATAGACTAATAGACTAATAGACTAAATAGACTAATATTTACATTCGGCAGTGTAGATAAATTTCTTTTGTATCTTTTTATATAATGCAATAATATAATTGACAAAAATAAAAATAACTGACAAAAAATGTAATATAAAGAAAAAAGGCACACGGTATCGTTTTGCCGATCCGAAAGAGGTTGGTCCAAATCCTAATAGAGACTTCTTTTTATAATGAACGTAATAGTTAAAAACAATTACTTTTTTTATTATCGGTAAAACCGGACGAATATACGCAATATGTTAGTATTACGTGAAAATATGTTAAAATTCAACTATTTACAGTTTTTAACACGATTTATCAATGCCTTGCAATTGTTTGCTTTGCTAGTACTCTTCAATAAATCAAAATGAATCAAGCACATCAATGTCAAAATCACCGCATAAAGTTTGAACGAACAGTGCCTTTATTATGCTTTATGATTTCACTGTCATACTCTTTGAGCATTGTTTTATTCTTTTAGAAATCTCGCTGTACATATATATACATATATGCACGCACATATATATACATGTATAATTATATACGCATATAATTATATACACATATATTTATTGTTAATAGATACGTATAGCATATAATCCTAATAATCGTCGAAATACAAAAATACACACGTACGATGCAGAATGATATATAAATTTTTATAGGAGACTTATTGTAACAGACAGGATATTATTTCATATTAATTCCTATAAATGTATACATATCATATGAAGCATCCTATATACAGTACTAAGTCGCAAAATAAATATACAATATTATAAACATTCAATAATACATATAACTCACATATTTTATCTATTAGTTGTCTATTATCTATTAGTTAGTTTACCAACAAATACGATTTATGTATGTAATAATATTTTACAAGAAAACGTTAATAATGTTGAAAGATGTTTTTGTATCGGAATCAGAACATTTTGAATTAATAATCGATTAATTTTCATTATATATGTATACATATAGTATACAGTTATATACGTATACATATAATCAACAAAATTTATTATTTAAACAGAAAAAGGATAATGAAATGAATTTACCGCGATAACAAGCCATGTAATATTGCCAAATCTAATTTACAGTATACAAAAACAAATGTAATATATAAATCTATACATCTGAACCAATAGAGATCTGTAAAACATTTTGTTCATATTATATCATACCTTATTTTTTTTGTGATGTCACATTTTATTAAAATTTGTGATAATTAAGTAATCTGCATTAACTACAATTTTTTAAGTTGACTAAACAGAGAAACTTTCTCCGCATCCACAAGTCCCTTTGATATTTGGATTATTAAAAACAAATTCGGAACTTAATTTAGTTTCCACATAATCCATTTCAGTACCTAGCAGAGACAACTGTGCCTTTTTGTCGATCATAATGCGAACTCCATCTTGAACAACCTCCTCATCAAGTTTACATTTTTCTTTGGCATAATCAAGAGTGTAACTTAGACCATTACATCCTCGTTGTTTCACACTGACCCTTAAACCGATCTGAAATAGGAAGTAGTCTTTATGCAATATCTGGCTCTAAAAAGTCAGCTATTTTATATTACAAAATATTTTACATCAATTATTAATATTTTGTATAATTTATAATTCAACAATTATTCTTGGAACAAAATCAACTTAATTAGTACTTAGTTGTAACAATATTCAAATCTTTAAAATTGAAATGGTCAATATATGAAAATAAATTTATTTTAAAATAAACACAGTGTTTTAGTTACTTTATAATAAATAAGAAGGTATTAAAGTAGAGGTCAAACTGTCTACTCACAAATTCGTCTTTGTCTTTTAATAATTCCTTAATTTTTTTTACTGCACTTGATGTCTGTAATAAAATAATTATAACATGAAAATCTAAAATATTTTTGCTTATTTGGAAATGGCAAATATTTTTATAAATAAACAAATTGGTACAAGATTATAATTCTCACAATTTAGAAATGAATACATATTCTATTATATGGAATAATATGCTGAGATTAATTATACAATGTGTGATATATGTGTATAAAAACAAAATTCATAAAAAGGATATAATCATTATTATCTACAGATTATTTATTATTTTTTTTTACAATGCTCTACTTGCATTTGATGGATTTTATTAAATATTACAACAATATTCTACAAATTTAATATAGTTTCATATAACTTAAAGAAGGAACTGAGATATTTGTTATATTATATTACATGTCAGTATTAATCATTCAATTATAATTAATAAATTCATTATTTTTTTATGTATAAAATCATTAATTTTAATAAAGATATCGGTTAAAATATTCTAGATTTATATCTGTGCAAGTGTCTGAGAATATTTATAAATATTTGTTGATACTTATATTTATGTCACACATTATGTAATTATATTTAACTTTTGATATAAATAGTAATACAAAGTCAAATTATACATGTTTACATACTGAATAATAGAGAATAACTTAATATTCACTATACAAAGTTCTTATAAGATATTTCATAACTACAAAAAGAAATGTTTATCCACAAATTAATAGCTAATTATTGATACATATCTTTTATTGTTTTGTGAAAATTATAAACAGCTAAAATCATGAAAATTTCTATGAAGATAAATAAGTAGTCAATGTGTTATTATATCTAATAACATTGGTTTTAAGAATAAGAATTATACATCAACATATCAACATAGACTGAAAATTGAACCTAAACCTTTCAGTGTTCAAAATATACATACGTTCGTAGCAATATTAACTAACACCATGTACCAATAATCTAGAATTATTACATATTTGTATATGTGTATGTTAATTATTTACTTACTAATGTAAGCGCAGCTCGTGTAGCAAGTATTTTTCTACCTTTGACAGCACGAACAGTAGCTGCAGCAGCTACGGAAGAAGCCATATTGATCTCGTAACGTCGATACTGCGTATGAACACATGTAAAATATATGTGTGTACAAGGAATGATATAACTATATTCATAAAAACATACACAGGTATAGTAGATGATGCATTTAGAATACAGAATTTTAGGATTGACGATTGACATCGACTGAATCGCTGATATACATATGTATTTCCATGCATCAGTAGACCGAATGCTGCCAAATTGCAGTAACAAACAATGAGGAATTTTCTACGCACCGGTAGACTACAATTTTTAATATAGCAAAGTCGATTCTGTAAGATTGTTTCGACATATGTTCAGGTTATCCCAAATAAAGGTAGCAATAAATATAACATCAGAGAGAAAAGATTAAGATTGTATTTAATTTGTAATTGTATCATTTATTTAACACTTGGGTAAATTGAACATAGTACAACGTAGGTATCAAGTATCAATTGAAAGGTAACAAACAACTATCGAATAACCTTTTTCACTTCTCGTGGCAAATGGGAACTGCTACGAATCAACGTAATAATATAAGTTTCATTAATCTACTTGCATACAAAAACGATCATTATAATCGATTGAAATTGCTCAGCGGGCAATAAAGTTATAAATTTGAAACTGAAGTATGCACGTATCATTTTCTCAATGTCCTTTAACCTAAAATAGAAGTATGCGATATAGAAGAAATTTGAAATCGCACTTCACGTTTAACGCGATAAACCATACGAATTTTGTAAAGAGTAATAATTTGGACGCTATCCAATTCCAATTATAATGTTCTATCACATAATCATAATATTCGGATTTCGAACGTTATTGGTAAATTAATAGGTAAGCTGAATATTAACGAGAATAAAGTAATCGATAAAATTAATAGTTGGTACTATTCGTGGAAATTTATATATCTTATTCGTTTCTATAAGTAAAAGTATTACTTATATACTATTTTGTATAAATTATAGAATGTGTGAAATAAATTTGTTAATGCGTCTGAGGAGTTTTTCTGTGAAGATAACAAGCACGTAATGCATTACCTGAAAGATGTGGTTGTAAACAAACGTCAGCTCAACGTTACTTAATAGACTTTTAAATAATTTACATTAGAATGATTAATATAACATTGATATATATTAGCTGAGCTGAAGTTTTATGTACTAATGTAAAAAATAATAATTTGCACGTCAAATGAATTTGTTGCGAAAACGTGTATTAAAACTCATAAATTGTTTTGACGAAAGTAAGTATTATTGTTTCTGGAAATGTGATTACGACGTATTATAAAATTAGTTTTCATACCGATCAACATATTCCTCGAAATAAAACTCTTTAAAACATAACCTCCGCTGTTACTACATATACAAATAAACGGTCGTTACTAAAAAAATGATGACATACTGGCCAAATTTCTTTTATATGACTGTAAAAACTGTATTACTTTGGTTGCAGGATCTTATTAAAGTAGTTATCCGTCAGGATGCCAGGGAAGATAAAAGTAAAAGTATTGGCGGGTCGCAACCTGCCAGTAATGGATCGTTCTGGTGATACGACGGATGCATACGTCGAATTAAAATTTGGCAATATAACGTTTAAAACAGACGTATGCAGAAAATCGCTCAATCCTCAATGGAATTCAGAATGGTACAGGTTCGAAGTTGAGGATTCTGAACTGCAGGATGAGCCATTGCAGATCCGATTAATGGACCATGATACCTATTCTGCAAACGATGCAATAGGCAAAGTTTATATAAACTTAAATCCATTATTGTTGCCTGGTGTTCCTCCCACAGTTAAAAATATCTGGACATTAGAGGCTGCAATGAATACCAACGCTGGCTCTCAGAGTGGTGTGTATTTGTTCTTAACGGTAGAACATTCAAACAAATTTAATAAGATTTTATTCTAGGTTCTGTTATGACTGGATGGATACCAGTGTATGATACAATGCATGGGATTCGTGGCGAAGTTAATATTATTGTTAAAGTAGAGTTATTTTCTGATTTTAATAGATTCAGACAATCTTCCTGTGGAGTACAATTTTTTTATTGTAAATATATAGAGTATTTATCAAACATTAGAAATTATTTTTTTAAAACGTGGTATGTAGTATAATGTTCTTTCAGCACCAAATATACCTCACGGATATCATACTCAAAGTATACACGGTTTTGTAGAAGAATTAGTTGTTAGTGATGATCCTGAATACAAATGGATTGATAAGATAAGAACACCCAGAGCCTCAAACGAGGCAAGGCAAACATTATTTTTTAAACTAAGTGGAGAAGTTCAAAGGAAAATTGGCTTGAAAGCTCTAGACCTTGGTGGAAATGCTGTTATTGGGTAAATTACAGACACAATGCATAAATATTGATTGAAGAAGTTTTTATCACACTATTTTGTCATAATTAGGTATCTACAAAATTTTGACCTGGAAGGTGAATCTGGAATTGTAGCACGGGGGATAGGTACAGCCGTTACACTTGTGAAATTGCAGGATACCTTGAACTTTTCATCTGACGATATAGAAGAGTAAGTATATACAATACTGTTCACTGTATCGCATTTAGCTTAATCTTTTATAGACCAGTTCTGCGTTAATCGTACCCTAATTCTTACACACTTAAATTTTTTACCAAGTATCTTTTAATATAACAATGTTGGTAATACTAAAAATATATTGAAGTGTTCTGTGTTGTGAATTATAATGCTGATTATTTAATCTGAGAGATGAAGTTTGTCCTACTGCACATTTTTTGTACAAGTACGAATTGTTATACTGCTTATTCATAACTAAGTGCATGTAAAAGGAATCAAACTATTATTTTTCAATTAAAAAGTTACTAATTTTTTTAGTTAATTTTAGTAGGTGATAAAATATTAATTAAACTTTTTATTACTCAAAAATAAACATTAACATTTAGTCAACAAGTACTTGATACTGATAATGTGTATTTATTTCATTTTCAAATATATGGTTTAAAGTTTGATGCGTCTGTATACAATAGATAAATAGGTTTTAACCACTTTACATTCATAGTGTATCACATATTTCAAGCGTATTCGATCTCATTTCAACTTCTACGCATTGGGTGTCCTATTTCTCTGGAATTGTTACTTTTACATAAAAAGATATAAATATTTTATAATCTTTTTATCCCTATATTCCGTTTACGTACTATTTATTATTTATTTTGAGAAAAGTTTCATTTCGTGATGCGATTGCTAGCGTAAAAATATAGACTACAAAAGCTACAGCAATACTTTATAAAACTTCTAATCAGTATATAATTTTTTTAGGACACCCGGTATGTAGAAGCTAGATCGAGGTCTGATGCGCGTGCATTAAAACCAGGACGATGTGTGTAGAAAACGGAGCACTGCGATAGACTGGAAATAAGTAGGTACGCTACACGCGCATCCAACTTTGATCATTGATAGTAAAAAAGATTAGAGATCTTTAATTGAATGAAAAATATTGAGAATTCTTATATACGAACTAATTAGGCCTTTTTCTTTCTATCCACCTGCATGTGTCAACATAGGGCATTCTTTTCACAACACAAAGCACAAAAGGAACGTACAGGACTCGATGAGAGTATGCCGTTATATCCCGTTACTTCCACTCATATCCTTGATCCTCGTTTTGCGAGTACACAAACCACGCGTGTAAAGGATGATTTTCCACATCATTCAAAGATATCTAGAAATCCTCGGCGAATTATAACAAAGACTGAATGTCCTTGCCGTAAATTACGCGACGTAAGAACTATTGAGAAGTCATCAGACACGAATAATTTAAAGAAAACTCCAGTTTCATACCCAACTTCAACTGAATCCATTATTCAAGATGCGTCCATAAGAATGATGCTAGCGTTGGAAGATGAAAGAGGTGAAAGCAAAAATATATTGGACGTCCGCAAAAATTTGAGGAGACTGTTTAGTACAAGTGATACAGAAAGTAAATCTAGTACTTCTTGGTTAAATAGTTCAGCTAGGTCTTCCGTTGGAAGTATTCAATATTCAAAGAAAGGGAAAGCACTTAAGGACAGTAAAGAAGGAGTTGCCGCCCTTTTAATAAAGTCTATACATAGCGTTCCTCTGGAGCATGTTAAGGAAGATCATGAATTATCAACAGCCCTTACTCTGTCTGATAATACGAAGGAACGCGAAAATGTCGATGAACATGCTATCCAAAAAGAAAAAGATAAGGATAATTTTAAAGGTGAAATTTATACCGTAACCCCGAAAGAACAGATGAAGAGGGAACACGATTCTTCGTTCGAAGAAAACACATCTAGCTCTAACGGCTTTTCGAATGAATCATCAATTGATAGTACTAGTTATAATATTTTAAACGATTCAAAATTTTCAACCGACGAAGAATTGGACGTAATCGATCAGTTTAGGAAACTTCGTAGAGCCGATACTTTCCCTTCATTAAAAAGAAAACCAATGCAAGTAAGGTCACAAGGAACAGATAGCGATACGTGTCCTCTTCACGAAGAGAGTACATCCCCTCCACTTGTTAAATGCCTATCTATGAATCAAATATTGACATTTAATTTCGAATTTGCTGCAAGTTTGGAAATAAGGAAAGATCATCCGCAAACAGCAGCAGCAGAGTTTAATAAAAATCTGGAAGGTGGGAAAGTTTTACAAAGCCAGCAAAGTAGTGAAAATTCACAAGACTTTAATCTTCCGCTCGCGACGAGTACGCCTGTAGAAAATTCTGTAGAAGAAACGAAATCGGATTCTTCAATTATTGATGTAGCAAAAAAATTAACTGCTCTTGTTACTGATTATGAAAAATGTGACGAACTTAAACAATGTAATCAAATTTCTGTAATAAGGGAACCTACTTCAGAAGATATTTTGAATGATGTGGACAATATGAAAGATAATGAATCATCTTACGCCGATGATTGTGAAGTACCTATCTCGGCGTATTCTCTGTTGCAAAGTGCAAGTAAAACTGAAAGTAAAGATAAGATAGCAATACCTAGGCGGATAGATAGAGATTTCTTTCAAAGATT